TGGTGTTTCTTCTCATTCATTATTAGTAATATCAAAGGGAACTTTTACTTATTTCATTAAAATTCAGACCAAATAGGAAAAGCACTCTGTAAATAACAGTATCCCTAACTTATTGTGAGTAGTGTATATATGCTAATAAACTATGCTAGTATTTTCTTCTTTTTTTAATGAAGAAATGTCATTACATCTACAGAAAACTTGATTCAGGTATGTGTGTTGTATGGAAAGTTTATGTGAGCAGTTGGAAGAGGTACCAATATCTGAATCTGCTTCCCATCTCTCCTTTTCAGGCTGTATATCTCTGCTCGGCATGGAGGGAGGGGGCATCGCTGAGTCCCAGATCTCAGCCTCATCAGTCCGCTACAGTTTGCTGGGCCTGCAGCGCTGGGGCCCTGAGCTCGCCCGCCTCCACAACAAAGGACTGGTTAATGCCTGGAGTGCAGCTGCACATGACAAGAATCCATGGATCGAAGTGAGACCAGTGATACAATACATTAACAGATTGATAACAAGGAAAAGCCAATAAGAGATAAAGGGGGAAATGTTTAGACCTGGAGGTCTTAAGTCATCAAGTTTTGGAATAGATATGTTTCAGCCAAATATAGGTTAATTAATTAATTTTTGTTCTTTATGTTGATGAAGTATCACACACTGGGGGGACTTTTGTTCACTGCTTCTACTTTTTTTGTTTTTTCTTTTTTTATATAAAAGTGTTTTAAAAAATGTTTGACATCCAGACATTAACTGAACTGATAGTTGCTTTAAAACTAAACAAACTAATCTTTGTGTCACTTATCTCTGTATTTCCAGATCAACATGCAAAGAAAGATGCGCTTTTCAGGTATCGTGATGCAGGGCGCCAGTCGTATGGGCACAGCTGAGTTCATCAAGGCCTTCAAAGTGGCCTCCAGCCTTGACGGCAAGATGTACACCATGTACAGAACAGATGGACAGAGGAAGGACCATGTGAGGAGATGCAACAAAAATAATTGCACTATATTGCATAAGTCTGTTTTAAACTGATTTATTTTTCGTTGATGTAATATTTAAAGACTTGCCAGTTGAGTTATAGCTGCCCCAATACACTTTACTGTGTTAAGATATACTGTCAATGAACCACAAGGGGGAGCAGCATCCTTTCTTTATGTACAAATCATACAGCGCATGTCACACAAATAAATCTTGTGATACTTTACTGTTACTCCTATGACAGTTTTAGAACTGCATCAACCATGAAACGGAGAAACAAGTTGGTTTTGAGTACATTTTACATCTGCTTAAAAACGACCACTATTGATGTGTGGCAATACTGAGTTCAAAATAAGAAAATATCATGCAACTGACTCCCCCCTCTTTCGCAGGTGTTTGTGGGGAACGTGGACAATGACGGCACCAAGACCAACCTGTTTGACCCCCCAATCATTGCCCAGTACATCCGCATTGTTCCTGTTGTGTGTCGCAAGGCTTGCACAATGCGCATGGAGCTGGTGGGCTGCGAACTCAACGGTAAACTCACACATGCACATGCGCATACGGTTAGTTTTCACCTTACTGATGTTGTTGAAACAAGCACAAGTGTTTCCAAGAAAAGAAAACCCAACAGCCATATTTTGAAGGCCAGTATTTAGCAACAATATTTCCTCACTAATTAGTTGCAGTTATGCACTCAGTGATTGATCATATTTCAAAGGATGTCACTCAGATGATAATGCGACTCTCAACACAGCTGCCATGAGTCTTTTCCAAGATGATCCTTAGAACTTATCAAAACCATATGATTATAATCACTACAGCAGAATGGATGCTAACGGGTCAAAGGTTTTTTTTCTCTTAAACTGCAGAGAATGGATTGGTCATATTCATCATCTAAACACTGTTACCCGAGCAAGCTAATGTAATACTTGGTTCTTTTAGGTCTTCTGTATTGCAGCAAATGTCTTTTCATCTGCTTTTTCTTTAATCTTAAGCCAGCGTGGTTCTTTCGAACTCGCTGGCGTCATTACACTGTCAGATGCTTGTCTCTCTTGATGGTTGTTTCATTTGTCAAATCAGTGTTTGTTGTTCTTCTTCCATCATGCTTCCCAGTTTCTGCATCATTCCTTAATTTTTGTTTTGCTTCACAACCAGCATGTGTTGTTTGTATAATCTTTTAAAAGCACAAACTTACATACTTTCACTGTTAAAAGTGTGTTTTCTTGTGCTTTTGTCACTTTCCCTGACTTAATTCCACTCCACTGAGTGAAACAGTTCTAGTGTGAAGTGTTTTCAAAACAAATGGGTGCTGTATGTGATGTCAGACAGCAATAGTGCAGCTGAATATTTTTCATGCATCATGCTCAGCTGCTCCACTAACTCACGTGACTTCTACAGTATGTTACAAACTTTAAAGATTATACAGTGAGCTCCACAACTTTGTTTCAGTTTTAGAATCTGCATTCTGTTCTTACTGAACATGGGAAATTATACAGAGTGAGAGAACTGTGAACTGCAAGCTTGTGGAGAATCACTTAGTATTGTGGGCGTAGTCAACCTGAACCACAGATGGTGGAAACAAAGAGTTGAAGGCACATTTAGATTCCAGTGTGACCTCAGCAAAACCTAAAACTGCACACTTCAAGCTGTATGCTAACATATATTGCCATACATCTGTCCATTGCATCTGCTGGTCTTGTCCTGCACGTCATCATCTCTGGGTGCTTGTTTGCCGCTTCACACCACTGGCTGGCCTGGGCCGCTTCCTGTCTGTCCCCTGTCCATCATGCTGTATTTCTCTCTCTTTCCGTTCCTCTTTTTTTCTGTCTCTTTCTTTCTGCCTTGTCTCACCTCCACAGTGTATTCAAACACTTCAGGTTGTTCAGAGCCGATGGGCATGAAGTCCCGACTGGTGTCTGACCGCCAGATCATGGCCTCCAGCACCTTCTGTACCTGGGGTATTGAAGCTTTCACCTGGCACCCTCACTACGCCCGGCTGGACAAACAGGGCAAGACCAACGCCTGGATCGCTGCCACTAACAACCGGTCTGAGTGGCTGCAGGTAGGAGAGGAGGACAAGTCAGAGCTGCATGTTGTTTATTAGTTTACCTCATGCTGTTTTTGTAAAGTTGTTTCTGTATCCTCAGGTGGACCTGAAATCTACCAAGAAAATAACAGGAATCATCACACAGGGGGCCAAAGACTTTGGCTCCATCCAGTTTGTTACAGCTTTCAAAGTGGCCTACAGTGATGATGGGCGGTCCTGGACTATAGTGAAGGATGAGACAACAAAGACAGACAAGGTCAGTCCAGCAACACATGGAACAAACCAAATTCATTCTGCAAGTTGTTTATTATATGATAAAAACAGAATTTAAGTACCAATAAAGAAATGTTTAACTGAAATAGAAGACAGTAATGTATGTGTAAATGCATGAGTAAGGTGTATGGAGAAAAAAAAATGTAGACAACCTCATGACATTTTGTAAAAAACTTTAAAGAGACAGTAAAACATTGAATTAAAACATATGCACATTGCTTAAATAATGGAAATAATCATTGGTTTAGATTAATGAAATAAATATTTCACTCTTTTGCATGTATGTGCTTTCCCAGGAAAATGTAAAAATACTGAGTAATGGTGAAGCTTGTGTCTGACATACTCGTCTGCACACCCGGAACCAATTATGGTAACCCTGGGACTGATTAGCGTTCTGTATGCATTCATTCATTTTGCATCCAAAAATCAATATATCTGCCAGATGTGAGCAGTATTAAGTCATTAAATCTAGGACGTGGCGCAATGACAGGAGCTCTGACTTAATCCATTAAACATTTATGATTGAAGTTAAGTTTATGCCCCAATCTACTTTATGTGGTAGAGTGTTACAATGGTTTATGAAGTTGTAATTGTCAAGGTTCCTTTTACATGATTTCTGCTTGTGTCTGTCCATTTATCTTGGAAGATTTTCTGCTTTTCACTTTTGCGCTAGTAAAACAACTTCCGCAAAGTAAAATAACTCATAACACTTATTACACATCATCTGATATCCGCAAGAAATGATCCCTAAAAATATAAAGTTAATCATCACACATACTACGTTAGTCTTAAATAGGAGTGTTTTAATTAGCATGGACCTTAGGTGATTTGAAGCAAAGTTGTTTCCAAGCTTAAGAATTTCTGATAAATTGTGGGGAAAATGTAAACTAGGTATCATTAGAGGAAAACAGTCTGAAACTGTAAATGACATCAGTATTTTCCAATCATATTTAGTCAACATAGAAACAAACAGTAAAAAAAAATATAGGGATGTTGCTATTATGTATTGTTTTAATTGATTGCCCTGTTCTATCCAGATCTTCCCAGGTAACAGCGACAACAACGTTCACAAAAAGAACATCTTTGAGCCGCCGTTTTATGGCCGATATGTCCGCATCCTGCCCTGGGAGTGGCACGAGCGCATCACCCTGCGAATGGAGCTTTTGGGTTGTGATGAGTAGCGCTGCCGTAGAACCCGTCCCCCCACCTCCTCCTTTCTCTACCTCCTTCCCCCTTCCAGCCTCCTCTTTCCTCCCTACCTTGTCCCTCCCCTCCTGAGCCACACCTGCACTGCCTTGCTCTCAGCCCTAGGGGGCAGCAAACACCAGAGTAGCACACAACCACCCAGACCCTGGCTGGTTGAAGGTGGGAGATGTTACCCTTAACCGCTGTTACCAGGACCCTTATTGAGCTAAGCTCATGTGTCCCCTCATTTCTTTGTTTCCTGATCTGATCACTCATCTTTTCCACCGGAACCAAATCTGTGATCTCTTCAAGAAGCAGGGCTGGGATCAGATTTTGTCCCACTTATTGGCTAAATAAAGGTGGGGATTCCCTCATTCCTGTGTCAGAGGTCAGGGGTAACAAGACTGCTGCTGTATCAGTTGGTGCTGCCTGGACTCTGATTATAGATCAGTTCTACCTGGAACATTGAACCTCCAAGACCCACGGCTGGTGATGTACATAAGCTCCACTAAAAAGCTTGCACACATCCTTTAACTGACCACTTGATGTCCCCTCAAGTCACAGAAAATATATATTATCTTACGTGGATACACTGATATGCATGATCAGTTATTTTTCTTCACCAAAATGTGTCTGCTCAAAAAACAAACAACCAAACAAAAAAAACAGGTTCATATATTGGCAAGTAACTTGAACTTTGTCTTCTGGTTTGTTGTGCTAAATTAGCAACTCATATCTAAACAATACAGTAAAACATATTTTTATTTGTTGAGCAAAGATAAGTGACTGAACATTTCAAGGGTTCCCACTGTGTGCTACAGTATTCCTTGTATTTCTCTGCAGTGGTTTGGACAGTAAAATCCTCTGTTTATGTTTCCTCATGTACATTTGTTTGGACTGCTTTAAGAGGTTTAACATCTGTGGTGTAAACATAGTGTTCATTTAAACATACACAAATAACAGCTAATAACAGACGAGCGAAAATCCTCCATTTATACAAGTAACTGTTACTGAACTGGTGCACGAAACTGTTTTCATGATTTGGCTGCTTCCAATCAAAGTATAAAGTCATGTCATCTTGTGCCAACACACCCTCAGGTTTTTGTGTTTGTGGGTTTATTTAGAAAAATCTAGTAACTACCGCACACACACACACAACTAAAAAGGAATCAAACATGTTAAGTCTCTGTCACTGTGAGATTTAATCAGTCAGTGAACCATCACAGTCTGTCTGTTTAGCAGCCAAACAGATGTGATCTCAAAGCCAGAGGACACACCCTCATTGACAGACAGGATGTTATAAACAAAGGACAAAAAGAGTTTAAGATCATTGTTGATGGGAAAGAGAAGAGAGACTGTTTATTGCTCTTGAGGAAAATGCCACTGAGATTTACACATGTGGCCGTCACGAGCTGGTATGGTGTGTTCTGCCAAGAAAAGGACATCTTACGCAACAACTCATGTTTTCAAGTCTTACATTATGTTTTGGAAAATGATCTCACCTTTGGCAGTATATGTTTTAGTCACTTGACCACTTTTTTTCTTTGTGACAGTTAATGCAGTTTTTCATATGCCATTGGCTGCTACAGGAGATGTGAATCAAATTTCATGAGGTGGTTTATTTTAGAAAAAAAGTCCCTTTTATGGTTAGTTTACAGTTAAATAGTCTAGGTTTTAACAGGCTGTTTGATGTGGAATGAATATGGAAGAAAGCCTGATATTTCTCCCCATCTGTGATTTTCACAACTACTTCAGACCTGGACACTTCTTTGAAATACTTCTGATCCATTTTTTTTTCTTCTTTTGGTAACAGCGTTCTTGGATTGGCAGACAGCTATCGATGTATTATACATTACACCAGTGTTTTGCTAGAATAACAGTATTAAAGCAGTAATTGTCCAAGAATTGTGTGTATTACTAATTGCTTAGCCTCATAAATTAAGAAATAACAACAATGTGATGGCTGCAAGTTTAAAAAGAATGATGGATATTATCGTCTCAGGTCAAAGCAGATCTGCTCCTAATGTACAGGAAGTGCTACTGAGCACTACTCCTTCGCTCACTCACGTGGCTGTGCTTCTCGTTGTGTTCACCCAGTTTCACTTTTTTATGGCACTTTGATGTTTGTGTTTTGATATTTGAAATATTAAAAAACAACCAAAAAGAAAAACAAACAAAAAAAAAACAGTATTGTGCATTGAAGAACAAAGAGTAAACATATTCGTTATTACATGTAGAGGTAAAATAGGAGAGAAAAACAGGCTTGCAGTTCAGTGTCTTTGTTAGATTAAACTGAGATTTAAAAGTCTGGGGGAATCTCTCGCTTTGGTTGCTAAGTGTTAATATGTGACATGCATATATAGAGTACTTTTGTACTGGGGTCTGTCCGCATTAATAGATGTTAATGTTTGCTGCAGATCTTTTATTTTGGGTCCAACATTATGCCTCCAGTTCAAAGCTGTGGCCCCGCTGATAAGACGGTAAAAGAGAAACCAAATTAAAGCTGATTTTAACGGTTCCACTGGACATGACACGACATGCCATATCATCTGCTTCTGCCGCCCCGTCACAGTATTCTAAACCTTTCCACCCCATGAATTATGAATTATGGGCTTGTGCAATATTATACTGTGTTAGTTTTGATAACAATGAATATTAATTCAAGATCCTTAAAAATGCATGAGGGGATAGCGGTGCCACTGAGAGGTCGCAGATGGATGTTGGTGTCAAACACTGTACAATATTTATTATTGTCGCAGACGATTCCATAACCCTTGTTATCCACATCTGCATGCATTTTATTGACTAGTGTTGGGTCAGTTTTAGTTTAACCGATTTGACTTCATTGGTGACATAGCTTCATTTCTTTTGGGTGTTCATCAGCTTTGATGTTACTATAGATATCTTGTTCCCCTGCTGTTTTATATGATTGATCAAAAAGAAATTGATGTGTTTTATTGTATTCTGAGTTCATTTCTTGCTATACTGACTGTTGACCTCATAGAATTTGGACTGGATTTTTATTTTTTTTTTAATTATTATTATTCCAGTATTGTGTTTCTAAGAAAACCTTATGTTTGGCCTTTATATCTTAAAATGAAGAATAAATAAAGAATTTAAAAACACATTTAATTGACTGTAACTTGCTTGAATTGCACAGCAGTAATATTTACATCTATGTGTAATACTGGATGGAATATTTAAGTAATATTACAGATCATAATACTGAATTAATTGGAGCTGTTTTCCATTTAAAAAGGTGGAAGATCAAAAGACCAAGAGCACTGAGGGTTGTTTTGCCTGTTTAGCATTTAAACGCCCCAGGGACCTAATCTCTTTATGTACCACTCTGCAGTCTTTTAAAGGTGTCTTCACCCGAGGAGGGCATGTCTTCTTCTCGCCTCATTACAATCCGTGAAGGTCACACTCAAGAAGTGAAATCCCTCTGTAAGGTTGGAACCATTCAATCATATGAAAATACATTCAGTGACTCTGTGAAGGTTAAATCATCATCTGTTAGCAGTGAGGAGCCTTTTTGTGCTAAAACATCAGTCCACCAACACAATAAATAAGGATTTAAGAAACTGCATTACATCACTTTTTGCTGTTCAGTTAATAAATCTCAGCTGATTATCAGCAGTTGATGATCTAGGTACCAAAAACCCTCCTCAGTAAACCAGCTGTTTTTCCTCTGGACTTGCTGGTAGTTACAGTCAATAACAGATTTCTTCTTAGCATCAAATAAAACTCTCCAAATCTCTTTTTTTTTCACTTCTGTTGTCCTTTCTCTGTAGAGCTCGAGGAGACTTAACGGTCCAGTATACAGCGGGAGATGATTGTGTTTTTTTATTCTCTGTATACTCCTGCTTTAATTTACAGATCAACATTTTATTGGTTGGATTTCCATTATGTGTCAGTTGTAGGTTGTTCATTTCATTACTGCCTTTACAAAATCTGTCACTGGTTTTATTGTAGTTCAGTAACCTTTGAATAATTGGCTACGGTACATGCTAAAATGAGAATCTGATAAATACAAGCATATATCTAAGATACTTGGATCGATTATTTTTAAGTCACTAGCGATTAAGAATGAATGAAAACTAAATAGTTATTGATACTGTTTGTTGAAAGAAAGTTTTGGAGTAAATAAAACAAGTTCAGCTACTATTTGATGTGTTAAGCAATAGCTTATATTTTTTGCCCTCAAATCTCACATTCAATGTATTAAAGTCCCTCTCTGGTCAACAATTTAACCCCTAAAAACTCATCCCTGTGTATCAAAGTTACATATTTTGAAGTTTTATACGTGAAAATAATCTCTTCCTGCCTTACAATGGCTCAGATGTAGCTCTACAACATTGCTTCTTCTAGAATTTGCAGATCTATGAAGCCCCTGCCTCTTTCTCTGTACAGCAGAACAGCTCAACCTACAACGCTGCTCAAATACCGTAAAACTGCTGTTGTGATATTGAAGTAATTCAGCCATACATGCTTGAACCGGAAACCGAAGAGCCCCACCCTGCAAGTTCCTCAGGTCTGAATCTGTGTTTTTTAGACTGTCACCAGTACGCTTCAAATTCAAGGTGGAAAAAATGCTCCGCCATGGCACTGACTAATTCTTTTGCTCATCGTTTGTGTTCCAGCATATAAAAAAAAGCACCATGGGCATGTTAACAAGGTATAAAACTTAATGTATTACACTCTAAGGAACTTTTCTTCAAATAGTGTAAAAAAAAAAAAAAGCATTCAGTTTCAGTTCCATATCTTAAGATCTGTATGATGTTAAAAATCTGAAAAACAAGCACCTGAAAATTTCCCTGACAAGACAATGTGAAATAACTGTACAAATGCCCATTGAAGTGCCTTCTTAATTTTGATTATATTTTCATTTGTTAGCGTCTTGAAATGTTAGTAAATGCTCTCCGAACAGACATCACCAGGGACCACTAAACACCCAACTTCGACACCTAAAGGTGGACAACATCTTCTTCATAACCTGAATAATATCTATCTCAGAAATGGGGGTAATTTCATCTGACTGCATCTCCATCAGTGCCATGCTGCGCTCTCCTATGTTTGTGTCCTGGCGTGAGAGCTATCCACGGACAGACGGAGGCATCAGGCCAACGCAGGCAGGAAACTGGAGGCACAGGAAGGATCCACTTCTGGATAACAACTGCTATTTTAGATCAGGTATGTACCAACACAGACAACTTCTCCAGGGATATATCATTTAAAAGAGGTGAAAGGCTGCGCTATTTCTGCTCAAATGACTGTTTAAAGCTGTTGATTTGACAGGTGATGAGGGCCTTTCACACACTGATGTTCATTACTATACCCCTAGTTTGGCGTTTCGAATGTTTAGTTGGTGCTTAACTTGCATTTGTGAGTTACAAAAGCATAAGAAATTGTAGTGTTTATTTGTTATTATGGTTCATTTTGCCCTTCATCTTTTAATCACGTTGGAAACTGTTACCCTGAGCCCTGCACTTCAGTCTCTTGTCGGCCTTTTATTGAAGCCTTCCTCTCTAATCACGACGGTCACACTGAAATCACACTCTCTGATTCACACACACACACACCTTTTGTGACTAACCGTCTCTTTCTGCGAGGAGTGTCTGCTAATGACAGCGTGTGACTGCTCATACTGACTCGATCGGCTCCTTGGCTTGGCCACACAAACACAAACACGCACAGCCATCCCATCCTCTTTCATGTCATCTCTCTCTGGGCTCCAGGTCCAAGCTCCGCTCACCTCTACGGGCCTGAATGTCACCGCCTCGCAGAAATTACACCCCTCCAAAGACTCAGTCACCCAGCAGTTCACAGGGGCTGCTGGTATTTGGGGCCTCAGGCTAAAACCTTTCATCTGGGGCTTTGGGAAGAGCACCAGTCTGGTCTCTTCAAACACACTGGAAGATAATGGCTTAGAGACACAGGGAGGGGAAACGGCTGTCACATTGGCTGAGAGTGGGAGCTACAGACACAAGGGGAGGGTTCATGGTTTTAGGGGCTTATTGATGACTAATCACACCACCTCTTAAATTTTATGAGGTTTAATTTCATTTAGGACGAAAGCAACTTTACTGCTGAACGTAATAGCATAAATCAGAGAGTGGTTGCTTGTGGTCGGCATGGAAGACATAATTCTGTCCTGTGTTCATTTTGAGGACAGCCAGACACTTTTAGACATTCTGAGAGAATAAAGAGCCTGGACCTTGAAACACCACTGGAGCCACTCTTTAGCCAGGCTTGCGGCGTGGCTCTGGATGGCAGTGTCTATTCCAGTTGTTGTTGTTCTTTGGTCCAGACTGAAAATATCTCAACAATAATTGGATGGAGTGCCACAAAATGTTGTACCGACAACTACATTTCCAAGAAGATGAATGACTCTGGCTGACCCCCCCTGGCTTTTTGGCTTACGACTCATGAGGGTTTTGTGTGAGAGGTCTTAACAGCGGTTAGATGGATTGACATGAAATTTGATACACACATTCCAACACAACTCAGGATAAGTTATAATGACAATAACTGAATAAAAAAAATGGATTCCTTAACTTTTCATCAAGCGCCATAATCAGGTTACATTTTTGGCTTTCAGACCTATAAAACTATATTCCATCAAACTCCTCTTCTGACTGGAAAATGATAGAATGTTAACATGTTAAACTGAGATGGTGAACACGATAAATATGATCCCTGCTTAGCATTTTATTCATGTTAGCATACTGTTGCTCAATGCAGCACTGTGCCCAAGTACAGCCTAACAGAGCCACTAGTGAGACTCTTGGTCTTGTTTTTGTAACGTCTAAACAGGAAATCTGAGGTGAGGAAGCAAGCCTTTTTTGAACCCAACATAAATATTTACTTTCAAAGTACACTTTTTTGATGGTCGTGAAGCCAGCGCAGGGAACTGGTAGATAAAGAAGAGGGAGTCAGTGTTAAGAGGTAACCAAGATCCAGCTGTGATTCATGATATTCAGCATCAGTGACGATGAGTGAAGATGCAAATATGCAAACCTTAATTGTTTAATGACGTAAATTGAACCTCTCCTTGTGACAGATTTGAAAATTATGTTTTCATTTCATGACACTGTTCAATACCGTGAATGCAACATGAGTCAAAGATACAATAAGAAAGAAAAGAAGAAGGATTGAGGGAGAAGGAAGAACACAACAGGATGGATGCTGAGGGTTAACTGGCATGAGAAGTTCAGCTTTGGGTAACCGCAGTTGATGAGTTGTTACTGTGATCCGGATCTGGAATTTCTGCCATTTGATGATTAGCGTTTTTCACCTGTGACTGTGACAATGATTTATATTGACTGTGACATAATCTCAAACCAATGTTTAAGTGCCTTTGTGTTTTTTTTAGGAAGTCAGTGCATTCTTTGCCTGTAGTGAAGGTTATGGATAGCTGTGAAATGTTCAACACACATGCATGGTCTCCAGATCAGATATCCTAATCACTGTACTGATCCTTTTACTTTTACTGTCCCCGACAGTGACTCTGGTGATCATCCAACCTTTCTTTTTATGCTACTACTATGCTGACATTTGTGATTTAAAGTGAAATGTCTCAAGAACAACTGCATCAATTGCCATAAAATTCATTTTACACATTCTCTCATCCTTAATTTTTCATCCAGCAATATCATCAGGTCAAATTTTATTTTTACGTTTTCTTCAGCTTATCCATTTTGTGTCACAGTGGAAGCAGACTAATCAGGGCATGGCAGGCATCCCTCTTCCTGGTAACATTTCCCAGTTCCTTCTGTGATGTACAGCATTCTCAGGACAGATGAGGTATGTATCCCTCAGTTAGTTATGGGTCTCGTCCCTCGTCCTCATTTGGTGTACCAGACCTGGCCACCCTACAGAGGAAACTCATTTCGGCCACTTGTATCCGTGATCTCATTATTCCGGTCACTACCCAGACCCTGGGTGGCTGTGGCTCAGCTGGTCGAGCGGTTGTTCTGATCGTAAAGTTGGCGGTTCGATCCCCCCCAGTCGATAGACGCTGAACCTGAAGTGCTCCCTATGGCAGGCTAGTGCCTTGCATGGCAGCTCTGTTGCCACTGGTGTATGAATGTGTGTGTGAATGGGTGAATGAGAAACACATTGTAA